CCTTTATCTTTATTTACCTTTTTGTCGTAATTTGTGCACCTTCGGAATATACAGGAAAGCATTTTATGAATTTTCTCAAACTAATTAGTACTAATTATGGTCCTAATTAGGACCCTCACGTTTTGTACGTTGGTGGCGTATTTACCTCTTGTTTGTATATTGGCCGAGGCATAGAACATTAAAATCGTGCTCATCACACAGTAAGAGTTTTGTTCTGGGTGACAAACGAACACACGACCTTCAGCGTAGCAGCCAAGACCTAATATTACATTGAGATTTTAATAAAATAACTAAGAGGAACCCCGTTGTAAGCTTTGAAAAATAATTTTAAAATCAAGTCAATTTAAATGACATACGCACATTCATATTTGACTCAAAATGGCCGTGCATTCAAATGTGAAGTTCCAGAATGAGTTCACACTGTCTATAAATAACTAACATAATTTCACATGTAACTATGACAGTTCTGACGAGTGTAATGCGTTGCTTTATGTGTCAAAATCTGATTTAAAAATTATATTAAAAACAAAGATCGTTGTAATAAAGGTTTTAGTTTTCAAAAAAATTGAAAATCGAATAGATCATGACAATCTAATACAATTTGTCATAATCTTTTCGAGTTTCAAAATGGAATGCGAAGAAATTTGAAAAAGGAAATCAAAGGACGTGTTGTTATTGAGCTCGTTGAGCAGTATGGAAGTACAGGCCACACGTGGTGTAACACACGGCGAGCTCCAGAAATACTCAGTGTAAACACACCAATATGTTCACAAGTAAACCGAACACTTGGCCGGACTATAAATAGATAAATAAATACACTATACGCGGTCCGTTTGTGCTGCCACTAGAGTGGTGAAGTACATTTTTTCAGATCTCTTTACGACCTTTCGCATAACGTTCGTTTTATTAGCTCTACTTAGAAATAATAAAATAAATGCTTTTACAGTTTATTATATCTAATCATTCATCTTAGAATCACTTTTGAAACTGTTACTTTATCATAAATTAAGTATTCATTGTATTGCCTTCAAACACTGAGCTACCTAAAACTAGTTTCGGTCCAATGAAATTGGATTAAAGGAAGATAAAGTAGCTAATTGTTTGCTAAAAGTTACGAGTCTGTGACAGATGTACAGAAAACTGTTAAGCAGTTAAAGTGTAATTAAATAACAGATATTCTACGTAGAACTTTTTCATATACATAACAATATCCAAATACCATCCAAAATCCAACAAGAAAATAATCATTCTAACTCAAAAACGCACAAATTTCGCATTAACATTTAAACTAGATAACTCTTGAAAATACCATTTGTCCTAAAGAAAAAAAAAGAAACTATTAAAGAAAATACTCGCATGCAATAGTTTGTATTCGAGTATTCGTAATTTGAATAGAAGAATTTAACTTCTGCAAGATGGCAATGCTTACGGTCTCTGACTTTGACAGCGGTCACAGTGACGTCTGTCCCGACAGACTGCATACCCAAATCACTAGATAACACAGCCGTAGGTATTGTTTCTGACTAGGACATCTAATTCGCCTCTGGAAGCCAGACTTCGTTAAAACATAAGTTATACGGATAATATGAATATGGGTCTCATGTAGTTAATAAAATATTTGTTTAATCTATACTATTATTATAAAGAGTTAAACTTTGTTAGTTTGTATGTTCGGGGTAATAACAGGAATTACTGGTTCGAATTGAAATTTTTTTTCAGAGTTGGAAAGCCCTTTTATCGAGGAAGGATAAAGGTTTATAATATAATGCTACGACCAGGACACGAGTATCAACGAATAATGTTGCGAAAACTTTTTTTTTTAAGAAGCAGTAGAAGTTGTGCAGGTCACATAGTTTCAAATATAGAACCACTAGCTTAAAAACTATTTTGACGATAAACCTGTTTTTTAATTTTATAATATATGTTTGAATTAAAAATACTTTGTTTTTAATAAAAATAAAAAACATATTCTAGAAAACAGGATATTTGAATGACCTGATGATATATTAAAAATTAGTTTTTACATTAATAAAATTAAATAAAGTTTAAAATATAAGATTTTACTTCAAAAATATTGTATTGTATTATATTATTCATAGCTATATGAACATTTATTCTATTTTTTGTTTTTTTTTAGGTATTTTAGAATATTATAGGTGGGTATTTTTATATAAAGAATACAGCAGTAACCTTATGTTATTTTTACTTTTTTTTTATAATAATCAAATTAGTAATCTGTCAAAAAAAAAAAACAAGCTTAAACATATATGTAACCTATGAAATAATTTATTCAGTTACCTACTTTAAACAGAAGGCATTATTTTTGATTGATCAGTAAAAGAACTTAAGACAATAAATGTATCTTATTTTCATGTGATACTTTAAAAACTTGCATCACAAAAAGTTAAAGCAACCAGAGCTACAGGCTAGATCACCTCGGAGGCAATGCTCCTTGTACAAAAAAAAAACAAACCATGCCCACAGACCTTTGTTGTGGTGGTCAGTGCTTCTTGCAAAACAAAAATAAGACAAAACGAACGGGACAGAACAGGTCGGGACTTGCCGAGACCAGTCCGACGACTTTTGACCACTTTTCTGGTTCCACATCCCGGCAAACTACACTTGCATCTGCTCAACGAAAGTGAACCTTAACTCTTAAGTAATATATTTGAAAATTAAACAAACGTATGCTATAGTATGTTCTTTATTTATGGAGCTATGATTTAAGAGCATTTCGATTTCTTTAGGAATTTTTGTGGTTACGATTACGACTACGTTTTGTAGCTATGCAAGTTTAGTCGATAGTGTTTTGATGACCACAAACAACATGAATATTGCATAACTAAGTTGGCTTACGTTTGGTGTCGAAAGTCGCACCTATATATATATTGTATACCTCTTTTTACGTTTTATTACAAACTAGATTAGACCCGTAATTACGCGCAACTTTGCGTCTCTCATATATCCTTTAAAAAAAAGTTGAATCGACTTCAAACAATCTAAGCAGTCGCGGTTGATTTGCTGTCATTTTTTCTGAAACTCATCATCAGATCTATACGAAATTTAAATGGGACCATTTTCGAATTGATCACCCCCTCCTTTTAAAGTCGGTTAAAAGGACTAATTTTACCCCTTTTTGCTGCATTTTCCATGAATGCTCCTATTGATCATTTCGTGATATGATATAGGATATAGCCTTCCACGATAAATAACCTATCCAACACTTAAATACTTTTTCAATTCTAATCAGTAGTTCTTGAGATTAATGCGAGCAACCAAATTAACAAAGAAACTCTTCTGCTTTAAAATATTACTATAACTCTACCTACATTAGATACCCATCGTGATGTTATTTGATTTTACGTGATGACTTGGTAATTATGGTCTAATAATTAAATCAGGGTATGGTTCGTTGAACTGATTTTTTCTTTTAATTCAGTTAATTTCTATCATTGGTAAGTAGTATTTACATTATAAGAACCATTACTTCTTATTACATCGAATGACGTGTGAAATAATATTAAAAACTGTAAGTATATATTTTTTTCCTTAGTTTAGAAATTAATAAAACCGAATAATATTGACTACACGGATGGCGTAGTGGTTTAAGCGGTCGCCACGACGCTTACTACCACGCCGAGTGTTGTGAGTGCGATCCCCACTTTGTGTGATCCACAAATTGTTGTTCGGAGTCTGGTTGTCTTTGTGTCCGTTTAATATACATATGTTTGTAAAGTCCGGATACATAAGACAGGATATGCTCCTAATGCGGGAGTTGTTTAAAAAAAAAATAGGTCAACATACCCAATGACATTAATACTAGATAATCTTTTTATGAAATGAATTGCATTTTTTATTAGTTAACGACAATTTACATATAAATCATAATCACAGTATTTATCACCAATAAGATATCTCACCTCGAAGTTTTGTGAAATATTGGCTGACATCAGTCAAGTGAATAACTTACGAAATTTGAACTATAACCTGCATATATAATTCCCCTGCAATTTAGTCTGAGTGTCTTATTTGTTTAATAATAATTTGACATACACGGCCGTCTGATCACAAACTCATCTGAGCTTGTACTATGGTAGGTATAACTTAACTATGGTAAATTTCTAAATACATACATATATATTATAGACAAATAGCACTCAGACACAGAACAAATAATCGTTCTCATCACAATTATGTGTCCTGGCTGGGGATCGAACCCATCACCTCTAGCTTAGTAGATAGGATTATTAACTACAAAAACAACCGATAGAGGATAGATAGAGATTATATCACATCAACAGTTTTAAATAGTCCACTGCTGGGCTATGCCTCTCCTTAGAACAGCGGTTTGAACAACCCGGACCTGCTAAAGCATAGCGACTCTCCAATCTATTCGAATAAGCATAGATACATACATGCATACTTACACCTATTTGCATTCAGCAGGAATCAAACCTCTACCATTTTTTTTAAATGTTAGATGGGGTAGACGAGCAGACGAGTCACCTGATGTAAAGTGACTATCGCCGCTCATTTATATTTAAAAAGCATTAGAGATTTCTGATCGAGTCGGAGCCGCCTGACTGGGACAGTATTGTAACGAAGTTTGAGTACAGATTCTTTTTTTCTGCATTGCTTTCATTTATTACACATCTTTTTTAAATTTACAAACGAAAAGTCTTGGGTGTGTAAACTTGTATAAGTAAATGACCAATGCAAGCAGTAGGTATATGAACATAAAGATGCAGCGAAACGAGAAAAACGTACTGCTATAAATAAAGAGACATCAACCCGTGGTGCACTAACCAGACATTCTTTCAAGGCCAACAAAACAACTACAAAACATATGATTGAAAAAAGGAACCAGAAACATACATGCGCAGACCCATCTAGTGTAACCTGACCCTCACCAGCCAGCCAACTTCCTTTATTTCACATTTTAAAATAAGAACACTAAAGATCGCTGTATACTGGACAAGTGAGATTCATAGCTTTCATATATGGCCCCTCGTGTGGTTAATTTTAGTAGCGATGAGGTGTCTAAAGATGTTGGTGGAACAGTCACCCCAAGTAAAGGTTCCTTGTGGTCACTGACCATCGCCATCGACGAGAATAAAGTATGTACCTGGACTCGCTCGTAGCCAGTACTTGTGACGTCATTGCGTGGTGTCTCCACTCGACTTGTTGGAATAACATTGAAATTAGAACAAATAGTCCTTATTGGCAGAATACAATTTATTATAGAAAAATAATCTTTATAGGATTTTAAGTACTAAACTATTTTTGCTGTATTTGCCATATATTATTTTCAATTCCGTGTACCCCAATTTACAAAACTTTCGTTCTTATTAACCTGATTTTTTTTAAACGATAAAGATGGCAAACAAGTACAAAGTCCGCTGAAGTCGTTCTGATGATAATTATCATTTATATAAGAGAACTCAAAGACAACAGGTATTTTAAATAACGATATCTGAATCATTTCAAATGTAACATAATTTGGAGATCGAACTTGTAGCAGTCGACCACGGTGGCAGTTTGAAAGGTGTACACTTTAACCATTGCGCGATTCGTGTCAAACTCTTGATTATAAATATTTTGATACTATATTTTCCATCTTTATAAACAACTGCACCAATGAGCCTACTGGCCGAGTGGGCAAAACTAAATTTAGTTCAATTAGATGCAAAAATATTCATTGCCATTATGGCGCACAATATCAAAAGGAATTAAGATTCTTTCTGTCAAGATCTCTGATGACTTCTAATACCGAAATCATCCAAATAAAGAAATATTCCTAGAGATTCACGATCTCACAGGCCGTAACTTGTCTGCCACAGTGGTAGTAAAATAAAATATGTAGTAAATTATTGAATTTTGATTCGACAATTAAAAATATTGAAAGTTCATCACGGTTTAATGGAATTCATCGTGGTATAAAATTACTTTTGCAGATTTCAGAGAGAAGTTCGAGACCTCCTCAAGTGACTCCATCAATAGTATATCCTTTAAAAATCCTAAGGCCTTTAGCCAATCTTGTAGCAGGCATCGCTGTGGCGCATCAAGAGACAGCCGAGGTACGTCAGAGGCTCTGAACGTAGGACATCATTGAGCTCAGACGACTGTGTCTGATGCTGTACACTATAGCCGACCACCAAAGGTAATCGTGTATCAGATAGACCCATCATAGCTACTACTTTTCTGCGTAGAAACAGACTCATACAAACATAGAAACAGAAACATAACACACAATTACACACGCACGCACACGTACAACGATACTGCGTCTTGTCAGTCAAATTATCAAAAATGCCGAATTGTGTTGTGAAAGGGCCTAAAAATCAAACTTTAAGAGATAGATAGCAGGATGGAATCGCATTTCAGACATATTACTTGTGTGAAATGCGTACAAACAATGCATAGAAACTAATATTTTCAATAAAATATAAATTGTCAAATAAATAATGGCAGCACCTGCCCATGTACACACATGTTTTTGAAACCGCGTCACTTCGTTCCAAGTTCCATCTTAACTTTTTTATTTGATCTGAGAACGTATCATAATCAGTCTACACGTTTAGGAACTACGAAAACTCGGAAACATATGGACCGACAGACACACAAAAACTCATAACCATCCTCATTTCGTGTCAGGGATTAAAATACAAACAAATGAACAATTATTTAAAAAACAATGTAACAAAAATATACATACCAAATACATTTGAAGCACATTATTGTATACAAAATAAATTAAAAAAAAAAAGCGTTTGGTGCCTGTTGTCAATAGTAAAAAGCACCCCAAGCTTTTTTTCAAATTTATTTTCTATTTTTTAGTTTGGTTTTCTATAAAATCGTGTTTTTTTTAGTTTTTTTTTTTTTTTTTTTAAATTAGTGTATTGTCACCGGTCCTCGATATATCTACAAAGTTTGAACGAATTATGACCGTTTAAAGTCAGTCAAAATCAAGCCCAAAGGAATCGGTTACAAACATACAAACAAACATACAAGTGAAGCTAATATAAAGCGTGTAAAAAGCAAGTATTTAGAAGCTTTTAGGGTTAACACGTGATAGTAAGAAATCCACTCAACATACGAGAGACTACTATAGCGCCTGAAGCGGATTTACGACGCAAGAAAATTAACTCGAAGGTGTCGCGCTGAGATTTATAATGAAGGAAACGAGGTATTTTTGAGGGCAGTTTAACAGAAATGCCGGGGCGTTAATCTCGTGAGTAAGATTTACAACTTTGTTCAGTAAATATGATGGATTCATTGTACAATAATAGTGGTTCTTTACAGAAGTAAGTCTAGCTAGTATACGAAAGTTCGGACTGTCGAGCAAAGATAGTTAAACTACTTAATTTAAATAAGTTATTACAGTACTGTACAGTACAGGAACCGTGTGGTGACGAATTAGGAATACGAAATGTCACCACCCCTTTTTATCTGTCGTAAGAGCCGACTAAGGGAGCAAACTACGCAGGACTACAGCACTGCAAATAGAAGGTAAACTTGACACAAACCCTGAACCAATCCGTCTGGCCAGCGTGGTATAGGAGAAGAAGAGGCATATGTTTAGCAGACGGGTCACTTGATGGTAAGTCACTTTAGCCTGGATGGATGGATTAGGCCTGAGAATTGCCTGACGTTTCAACGAGGTTATCTGTGGCCATGGGTATCTCGTGACTTGTGATACATATTTATACAGTATGAATTAATAAAGTGGTTTTATTGTCAATTACAATGTAAACTTCTCATAAATAGAAGTCTATAAATTTACCTATGACAGTAATGAGTTATATGATAACAAATAGCCCAACTTTATACTGCTTAGTCCTACTTTCAAACTGGTTCATTTGTTCATCATTTATGGTATTATTATTTGTCATCGTTAAGAACTTATAACGTAAGAATGTGGTATCATGGGTGTATGACAGATATTTCGTTTTCATCATAACTGTATCTCCATATACCGAACTTTTGATAAATAGTCCTATAAATAATAATTAGGCCTAATAAAGTGTTAAAAGAAAGCCTGCCTAATCTTTCGTCAAGGATCGGGCCCAGACAGTGATGACTCGTACGAAGACCGAATCGACCACGATTAGGGCGCCGTAGTCTGGTCATGGAATCACAACCTATTCCTAATGTAAGCATTTAGCCAAAGTTTAACCCACTTTACTAGTACACGATATTTTATAATATTGTTTTGTTTAGAAAACACCAGAAGTTTGTGAGGACAAACTATCATCAGAAAATAAGCTCTAATGGGGTAGAAATTTGATTTTTTCTTTAAATATTTAAACGTAGATATATATCTACTATTGGGCCTGTTGGTCTAGTGGTTAGTGATCCTGACTGCTAAATCGGAGGTCGTGGGTTCAATACCCACCTAGGACCAATATTGTGTAATGAACACGGACAGTTGTTCTGTGTCTGGGTGTAATTTATTTATAATATGTTTCCACATACTTTAAAATATATAAGTATGTTTATCAGCAGTCTGGTTACCATGGTACAGGATCTGCCTAGTTTGGGATCAGACGGCCGTATGTGAGATATATTATTATATTATTTTATATTATACTTAGTCGTGTTACAATCGACGACGTGTGCAACATGCGAGGTACTAAACTTATGAATGAAAAAAAGAAACAAGTTTTTCTTTATATAAAAATAATTCAAGACAATAAAAATAAGTATTATTAAAATGAACCATACAATCGTCATCGCTATTTTCTTGTATAAAACATGTTTTTAATTACTAAAGGTTTATGACCCGTATTCACCTTGGAACAGATCAACACTCCGACTATTATGTACAATCATGGCTAGGTAAAATATTTTTGTTGAATTTTAATACATAGTTTGAATAAAAATAGCAAGCTTCACTTGTCTGTTTTAGTCCACACTCTGTTTTATTACCTACTAGTTTCCTTTATACGAAAAGTTATATTTTTTCCCTGCAAATAAGGTATAATGATCTATGTACTGATCTATGTACTATGTACATATGTACTGATCTAGAGAAATCCCTCCCTACTTCGGTGCAGAGATCAGTTGAAAATTCCTTTAACAGATAAACAAATCAAAGTCTCTTTGAATAATAATGAAGCTAGGATAACCTTGAGAGATCTTTTAGGTCTTTTAGGAGAGAGCTTTTAGGCCTTTCCAGCATATTTCCAATGATATTTACAGAAAAACATTGATTTGTTTGTAAATTAATTCACGAAACCAGTTTCGGTGTACACACGAAACATTAAGGACTGCGCAATGTAAGTACACATACATGAACTAGAGACTTCAACGTTACATTCTCCTAAAACCGCAATCGTCTGCAATCGAAGCCCCTCTACCCCCTCCCCAAGCTGCGTTAAAGGCTGGCTATAAAAATATATGTACGACATCATTTAGGAAGCAAATATCCAGCATGTTGTGTAATTTCCAATAGGAACCGTTCGGAATGATGTCAAAATTGTTAACCTAACAACTTTTCAACGAAACGGAAGCTTAAGACGCTTTCTTCGAAATCCCGGAACAAGAGATACGTGAATAAACTCAATATGTAGGTACTTGATATTATTTCTGTCAATGCTTTTCTAGAAAACGATTTTAATTAACATTTCTAGTGAAGTATACAGTTTTAAACTCTATTATTGACGTGGTTTATTGGTACTAGCATCGGTCTAGCGGTTGAATTTCGACCTTTTATAATATGTTTTGGTATAACTTAGAGCGTCACTGTACAAACTTTTGTGTCAAAATAATTACTGGAACTCTATAACTTTAGGTGTCTGCTTTAACATATTTTTTTCACTTTATAGTGCATTTTAGGGTTCCGTACCTCAAAAAAAAACACGGAACCCTTCTAGGATCATTTTGTTGTCAGTCTCGGGAACGCGTCGAGGTATCCAGTTGAAATTAAAACCATAGACTCTGGTCTACATTCCCTTAAAGCTGTGAGAAAATCAAACTTTCAAGTTTATGTAAAAAAAAGATACGTCCGTTTAATAAAAAAAATTAAGGGAACCTTCAGTGGTGAGTCTGATTCGCACTTGTCCACATTTTTTTTTTCCAAATATCACACTGTCTAAGCTAAGTTCGATTAAAACCTTTCAAAAAATCTTTTCACAAAATCTATGTGTAGGGAATGTTGGATTAATCTCTGTACAGATAAACAATTGTAATGTTTAAAGTTTTGAACACGTCAAGCCAACAAAAGTAGCCGCGGCTAATGCATTCAATTTACAATCAAGTGTTCGGGTTAAAACCCCACCTTATGCCGTCAAAACACAAGCATTTCGCGAATTAGTATAAGGTCTAATTACTTTAATTAATGTTAGAAAGAAACCTTTGAAATATAATAAAAATAAAAACCTTACATTTAATAACAGCTTAAAGAAGCAGGAAACATTTTTTTTTTTTAAATGTGTTTTTGCCACCTATTAAGTAACGAGCTGCCAAATGTATCGAAAACGTGTTATCTATAAATATAAAAATGTTTAAATTGGTTTGTGTACGCTTCAAAAACTCAAAAAGTACTGCACCGATTGAGTTCAAATTGTGACACGATTTACAACGCGGTTCAAAGTTTGTTTTTATCTATTTTTCGCGCCAGTTTTGTTTCTTATCTTTCATCAATACAACCACAACATGCCACAACAAAGCGTGGCAGGGCACAGGTAGTTTATTATGAAAATGGTAACCGTATCCCACTAAACTAGGCTGCTGAATAGGCTGTTGAGATCAGACATTTAGATTTTCCAAATTTGAGAAAGCACTCTCAGTACCATCAAAATATGAATTTGTAAAAGACATTTTGGAGATAATATTTATTTCATATCCTTGTTGGTTGTTTAAAGAACATAATCCTCGAGATGCGGCTTTATACAACCTTTTAAACAAAACCCCTCCGAAAAACAATTAAGCATTCCCAACCCAACGTCGCTGCGTCGTTTAAGAGCCAGAGAGGTACAAATTTGAATTTCAAAAACGCAAAGTTAAGCCTAGGGTTTTGAATTTTAACATAATTTACATACACAAATGAGTCATCTGCGTTCGTTACGGTGTCTGGACCGGGCCTCTACCGAAC